ATTTATAACATAGTTATTCCTTAGGTTCTGCAACTTCTACCAGAGATTTATTAGACTATAAGTTAGTGATTACAGATTAACTCAGTAAGAGATCTATTAGTATTCTCTGCACGGAGACTGCTACTTTTAAAGAAATTATATACATGCAGTGTTGCTTGCCAATCACTTATTCATATTGATAGGCTGTACTGATATAATATATTAGTAGTAACATAATCCACGGCCGAGCGGTGAATATGGCTGAAGTGCGAATTTTCGCCGCAACCACCAAAATATTCATTCAACCATTTCTAACGCGCCATTTCTTCACTTTTTATATACAAGATACCTTTATCTAAGGAAGCCTGTATGCAAATGGCTATTGCTGCATGGAAAGACAAAAAAGTTCAATCAAAACTGAAAGCTGCCCAGATATTTGGTGTCTCTGAATCCCCCCCTCTGCAAGCGGCTTAATGAAACTGGCTTTGCAATGGGACTCTGTACAGCATCCAAGGTTATTACTGTAGCAGAATGTAGTGGGAGGCCTTGTACAGTTAACAGATGCAATTGGTCTTAAGTGGTTGAAGCATATGCATATTTTTGATCCTTTTTCTAAGCTGCATTCAACTGGCGCGAAGCGGTTGATTATTCTTGATGGTCATTGAAGCCACCAAACTGCTGAATTTGATGATTTTTACAAGAACAATGCAATTATCTTTGTATGCCTCCACATACATCTCATCTTCCTCAACCCCTAGATGTTGGGATTTTTGGGCCGCTCAAACGCGCATAGGAAAACTAGTGGAAGGGATGATGGCAGCTGGAAACAACCACATTGGTAAGGAGGATTTTCCATACCTATATCTTCCTGCACGCAAAGCAGCATTTTTTCAGAGCATATGCAAGGGCAGGTCTTAAATGATTGAATCAAGCAAGATTGGATTTTTGAGAAAATCACCATTCAACTTCATACACCAACACCGCCACCAAATCTTACTGAAGGCTCAATTTCATCTGCTTTTCAAACACCTCAAAACCCTCACCAGCTAGATCATAAGGTTCACAGCCTACAGACAAGCCTTCAAAAGAAAAGGACACTTCCTAGCAGTCCAGTCTCTCATATTCGGCATCTTGAAAAGGCTGCACAGATGGCAATGAATACAAACCTCCTTCTACAACAAGAAATCAAGGTTTGGAAATGCACTGCTCTAGGGAATGATCTCTTTATCTCTGTACAGGAAGGTCGTGAGCATATTCAGCAGCTATCATGATATATAGCTTGAGCAGCTTAATGATGCTACACCTCACCAGTGAGCTCCAGCACGCTGTAGTGGCTGTGGGACTATTGGACATACTATAAGAAGTTGTCCTAATAAATAGCTATCTATGTAATTAACTAGGGGATATTCTCATTCAGTCATTTAATGGTGTTGGTGGTTGAAAACCTTCAAAAACTGATGGTTGCGGCGAAAATTCGCACTTCAGCTGTATTCACCGCTCGCCCGTGGATTACGTTATATTTATGGTTAATATTATAGTAATAACTGTAATGAGATTTACTAATTCATTTTATATTTAGTTTCTAGTAATAAAACTTGAAAGTAGTTTTAATATTAAAAATATGCTTTCTTCTAATTAAGCTCTATAAAGTTACAGCTTTCTAACACTTAGTATAGCAAATTTTTTTAATTAAAGTTGGATTTTTCTAACTGTTTTTAAATGCAGTTTTACTCTTCAGTCTAAATCTAATTTGATAATTATAGTGAACTACCTTATATATTTTATAACAGAATTAATTTTTAATAAAATATGATAAATTGTTAGTCTTTATTATCTGTAAAATATAATGATTTTCTTAGAATTCTAATAATCCCATTTTAATTGAGAATGCAATTGATAGTATTCAAAGTAAATTAAGTGGACAGCAGTGCATTAAAATGTAGTCAGAATACAATAACGTAATTCACAAGCGAGTGACGCACCCAACGCGAAATGCATCAATTAATTAGACCCTTCCACTTCAACCACCCACCATGCCACCAATTCGCTCTCAAAGCTCTAGAAATTCAATAGAGCAAGAGGGTAGGATCTCATTAGCTATACAGGCTATTAAGAACCAAGAAATCACTGCTGTCCGTCAAGCAGCGCGTTCTTTTAATGTCCCTGAAGCTACTTTACGACGCCGCCTCCATGGTACACCTTTTCGCTCTGAAACCCGTGTCAATAATCAAAAATTGACAGAAATTGAAGAGGAATCACTTCAAAAATGGATACTCTCTATGGATTCTCATGGAGCAGCCCCCCGGCCCACTACTGTACAAGAAATCGCGAATCTTTTACTCATGAGGCATGGATCTACCCCAGTTCAAACAGTCGGCGAGAATTGGGTCTCAAACTATGTAAAAAGGCACCCAGAGCTTTCAACTCGATTCTCAAAGCGCTATAATTACGAGCGTGCAAAGTGTGAAGACCCAAAAATCATCCAAGAGTGGTTTAATTGTGTGCGACATACAATACTTCAATATGGCATTGACCCAGATGATATCTACAACTTTGATGAGACTGGCTTTGCAATGGGCTTGACTGCAACTGCAAGAGTTATTACAAGGTCTGAATACTATGGTCGGCGATCCCTTTTACAACCTGGAAATTGTGAATGGGTCACTTCAATTGAGGCAATAAGTGCATCAGGGTGGGCCTTGCCTCCATGCATTATTTTTAAAGGCAAGGTCTTTATTGAGGGCTGGTTTGATAATGTCCCAGGTGATTGGCTCTTTGAACTTAGCCCAAATGGATGGACTTCTGATGAAATTGGGCTTCAGTGGCTTCAAAAGATCTTTATTCCGTCAACAATTACTCGTACAAAAGGGAAATATCGACTTTTGATCCTTGATGGCCATGGTAGTCATTTAACACCAAAATTTGATGAAATTTGCAATCAAAATGGTATCATTCCAATCTGCATGCCAGCACATTCATCACATCTTTTACAGCCACTTGATATTGGCTGTTTTGCAGTGTTAAAGCGATCATATGGTCAGCTTGTTGAAACCAAAATGCGTCTTGGGATCAATCATATTGACAAATTAGACTTCCTTGAGGCCTACCCACATGCACGAATTGAAGCTTTCAAATCTGCTACTATCAAAAATAGCTTCGCAGCAGCTGGTTTATTGCCTCTTGACCCTGATCAGGTGCTGTCAAAGCTCAATATTCAGCTTCGTACACCAACCCCCCCCCAGAAGCCAGGGTAGTGATTGGGAGCCAAAAACACCTTCAAACTACATGCAATTACAAAAGCAATCCTCATCAATTAATGCATTGCTCCGTACAAGATCAAGAAGCCCACCAAGTCCGCTTACAACAGCGATAAGTCAGATTCTTAAAGCATGCCAAATTGGCATGCAATCAGCTGCTATTCTTGAGAAAGAAGTAAGTGAATTACAGGCTGCAAATGAGAAACAGAAGCAAAAGCGTACACGGTCTAAAAGGAAGATACCCCATGAAGGTGGCCTTTTAGTTCAGGAGGCTGTTGAGCTAATTGAGGCCCCAATTGAGGCCCTGATAGCTCCAGCACCCCCCCGGGTCAAGACAGCCTTCGCCACATTTACAGCCACGTACGCGGCCTCCGCGGGGGTGTGGAATATGCAGGGTCCCAGGACATAAAAGAGAGACATGTCCAGATAGGCCTAAATAGGTAGTTCTCTTAATTTAATGGCGTTTTGGTTGAAATAAATGCATTTAGATACTATATATGGGGGGCGGGTGCGTCACTCGCTTGTGAATTACGTTAATTTTTTTTTTTTAAATCAATATCTATAAGCTAGCCTTTTCTAGTATTTTTTTTTTTTTTTTGAATTTATTAGATACAGATTTAGTGCTCTTCTTTAGTGTTACTGTAGATTAATTAAAGGCCCTTTAGTTAGTTTAAAAGATATAATTTAATATCTAAAAGTTCTCAGCTTCTCTTATCTAGGTTTTATTTAAATATAATAAAATTCTTAATGAATATTAAGTCTACTAGGTGCTTCACCAGTTCATCTATTAATAGAATAATTATCCTTTATATCTATATTCAGAGGGCCAACTAAGATAAAGTGAATAATAATACTGACTAAGAAAACCAACAATCCTCTATCATTAATGCAGAAGAGGGTAGGGTAAAGAGTGGCACTCAACCAGCTGATAGCTGGGATATAGAAAAAGAATGAGTATTGCCAATAGATCTTATTAAAACCTGTCCATTAAGCAGCCTGCACAGGTTAATGCATTATTGCTAGTAATCTAGAGAATCGGCGGCGCGGCGTGTTGAGGTAAGTAATCACCTATGAGGGTAGGCGGTGGGCGCGTGGGAAAGGCGGACGGTGAAAGGGCTGTCATAAAAATGACAGCCCACTGTAAGAACATATGACATTATTATACATCTTTCTATCGATCCATATCCTATTGCATACGGTCCTAAGTATTTGACCAATTTACGCCTAAATTCATTGATCAAATCTATATATGATTGCACAGGCATATAGAGCCCATTCATCCAATTGCCCCTATGGACCATTAATCTCTTTGAATATTTTATAATTATAAAGAAATTTAATACTAGATAAGCTTATTAAATATAATTCCTCTTCAATTTTAACTTTATAATATATTTTTCTAACCAAGAAAAATAGATAGCAGGCACTTTGATTAAAAAAAAGTAGAAGTAGAGAGAATTCTCTATCCTGTAAAAACCTGGGAAGGCTGGGATTAAAATGATAGTATATAAGGTGTGAATAACTATAAATTCTTGCTCTTCAGGACGCACTTATGAGATAACTCTCACTGATTTAAATTAGCTTGATTAGATGATTGATAAATGAGAGGCTGTAGGATTATTAATAGTCTCCTGGATCTATTCTCAATGGCAACTGATAGCTGGATTAGGAATCACTAATTAGATAATGTAATCAACCACTGAATGGCGCCGACCACCGAGCGGCGCCAAATTCTACGGATTCCACCCATCCACCCCCTTATTGCTATTTCCCACTTCTACATTATGGAATGCCAGTCTAAAGAAGATAGAATTCAATTGGCATTGAATGCTTTCAAAAATGGTCAATTTAAAACAAAAAAGTCAGCTTCTTTAGCTTTTGATGTTCCTGAAACAACCCTCCGGCGCCGCATACAAGGCATAGCTTCACGCGCTGAGAAGCCTGCCAATGGCCAGAAATTATCAATTACAGAGGAATCAACACTCTCAACATGGATCCTAGATATGGATAAGCGTGGTCTGCCCTTACAATTATCAACTGTTCGCCATCTAGCTCAGCTTCTGCTCTCTGCCCGCCTGCCATCCTCTCAACCAACCACTATTGGAGAACACTGGGTTAACCGCTATATCCAACGCCACCCAGAACTGAAGTCAAATACACCCGGAAATATGATTATCAACGTGCTAGATGTGAGGATCCTTAGCTTATTCAAGCCTGGTTTACATGTGTTCAAGAGATAATCCAAAAGTATGGGATTCTGATGGAAGACATCTATAATATGGATGAGACTGGCTTTCAAATGGGTGTGGCTTCAAGCCTTCAACTGCTAAAGTTGTCTGTGGATCTGAGACAAGACAAAGTCATGCAAAAGCTCTCCAGCCTGGAAATAGAGAGTGGGTGACTGCAATTGTTACTGTAAATGCAGTAGGATGGGTTTTACCTGCCCAAATCATCTTTGCTGCAGTCAAGCATCAGTCTCTATGGTATCATGAGTTACCAGAAGAGTATGTTATCAGTGTCAGCAATAATGGTTGGACAACAGATCAGCTAGGAGTTGAATGGCTTCAAAAACTATTTGAGCCAAATACAGCTTCACAGACTATTGGGAGGTATAGGCTATTAATTATGGATGGGCATGGGCCGCATGGCAGCCATGCTACTGCAGAGTTTGATAGATTCTGCATGGAGAAGAAGATTATCCCATTATATATGCCTCCTCATTCCTCCCATCTCCTTCAGCCATTAGATGTGTCATGCTTTTCACCTCTAAAGCGTCTATATGGCCAGAAAGTACAGGAGCAAATACAAAAGGGAATCTACTCAGTTGGGAAAGAAGATTTTATCCACATCTATCCAGCAGTCCATCAACAGTCTTTATCTTCATTGAATATCCAGTGGCTTTGCAGCAACTGGCTTGGTTCCTTTTACTCCAGAGAGAGTTCTCTCAAAGATTCAAAAGACACCAACACCACCTTCCACATCTCACAGCAATCAATCCTTTGGTGTAGGAGTAACACCAGACAATCTATATCAACTGGAACAGCAGAAGAAGAAGATTGAGTTGCTCAAGGGTGTTACATCACCATCTGTGGTGGATGGGGCTATGAGGAAGGTGATCAAGGGTGCAGAGATGACCATGCAGAATGCTCTTCTATTACAGCAAGAAATCCATCAGCTTCAATCAGAGAATCAATATAGAAAGAGAAGGAAGGAAAGGACCAAGCACTTTATTCAGAATGGAGGGAGTTTAACTGTTGCTGATGTTAGACAGCAGGAGGAAGAGCAAAGAAGAGAGCTAGAGAGAGAACAACAACCCAGGTCACATAGGCCACCAACATGCAGTGATTGTGGTGTTTTGGGTCATAAAAGGACTAAATGTCCTAACAGATAACCTCAGTCAACTTAGATAGAAAATAAATACAATTTTGGGGTGGTAAAAAGCATCAAGTTGATTAGGTGTAGAATTCGTAGAATCCATAGAATTTGGCGCCGCTCGGTGGTTAGCGCCGTTCGGTGGTTGATTACATTATTAAATAGAGACAATAAGTCATGATCATATAACTGTCAGTTGTTCCCACTCCACGCCTAGTTTGGCACACTGCTGCTGTAAGTCCCCTCATAATGCAATCAATGGGACTACCACCACAGTTGTACCCCGGGGAGCCACCCATGCAGGCAGCATAAATAACATGCTTTTGCCACCCCCTGTGGGCATGACCACCACCACTGGGCTCTGACCTTGTTGAATCGCTTGGATTGCAGCTCCTTGGACCCCCTGAAACCGCGCTGATCCATTCCCATAAGCTGTTGTAATTGGGAAGTAAAGTGAAAAAGGTACAAGGGCTTGTTATTCAAAATGTATTCCTTAGTAGAATGAATCATACAAGCCAGTCATCTGCTTAGCAGCCTCTTAAGTACTCTAGAATAAATAGAATTTCATTCAGCCATAGATAATAATTATTGGTTTCCAGACCCTGTTTAAGAGCATAGAAAGAGACTATATTCAAGATCAATATAAGTTAAAATAGTGGCTCTGTCATAAAACTGGTATTTAACTGTTTTGTTCATACATTTATTATATTATTTATCTTATGCTGTTTTTCAGATAATACAATCAAAGGAAACATATATTAAGATCCTTTATAGAGATATCCAGCTCTTACTTTAATAAGCTGACCCATTTTTGCTCTGCAGTATTATGATAAGTCACTTATTCTTAATATATTGCATAGCTAGTTCCAAATCTCATTGCTTATATTCTACCTTGAAGTTGTAAATTGCATTATCTTTCTTTTCTTCAGTTCTAGTATATAATGTAATCCACCACTGAGTCTGCACACCCCCGAGTCGGCCATCTGTGTATTGCATATAAAATGGCACATTTTAGAACCTCAAAATCTCAATAACATATTGACAGGGCCTGAAAGCAAAAAAAACATACAGATATATTATAGCAAATATGCAGGCACCAGGTCCAGAATCTTTTAACCTGCCTGGTTCTTTAGGTTACATAGGAAGGTCTTGAAACACAGCTGTATTAGACATAATACTATACCTTTCAACTCTAAATCCACCACATGTGTTGCTGGTATTTATGGAAGATGCATTCTCAGCCAACGGGTGTAAGGCCCTTCTGCATTTATAATTATAATAAACTAAACCACATGAAATACCAGATCTATTCATGTCCTCATTATTAGTGTATTACTGTGGGTTTTCTTCAACCTCTTATCTCCTTTTCTCTTGACTGGCTGCTAGCTTTTGAAATAGATTAATTATAAACTTTATATAGATACTAATAATAATCAGGATCGCCGTATAAATCTTACTATATAATTAGAATGGCGATAGACTAAATAAAGTCTATAAACACTACATCTGTAGAGCTTATTACTTAGTATACAGCAAGATTAAAAGAGCCCTGTAAATAAGTGACTCATATACTATTATTAGTACTACAGCTGCTAGCTATTTAAGTTCTATGGTTAGAGATAGTAGTCTATATAGATATATTAGACTTTATAATTAAACTGTTTTACTATTATATGTAAGAGGCCTTCATTCTTTGTCAAATATAAAAAGGACCAAAGTCCCAGCAGGACTTTTAAAGAGTTTAATCACCTTTTAATTAAGATATTGTTAATCTATTTTTAAAGTACTGTATGTTCTTTCTGAGAGGTTATAACCAAAATAATAATGATTAGATGTATGTTTTTAACTTTATAACATGATAATATCTTTTATACTTGATAAAATACCTATAATGGCTTTAGAGAAGACATCAGTCTATATAGCCTTTAATATTATTAGCTAATTAGTGGATTTCAGATAATTGTTAATTAAGATACGAGGCTGTATTTAACATAGTAAATCCTTAAAAGGTTATTCTTTTAATAAATAAAAAGACTAAAAAGGCAGTTATTTTTTTTAAAAAAATCTATTAGTTTATCTAAAGAGATTTTACTTTTACATTTTCAATTTAATAATAGTTTTATATACTCTTAAGGATCAGTAGACATCAGGATCAATAATCTTATAGGTATGGATGATTAAGAATTATATTATAACTAGCCCTAGATAACGTAACCTATCACTGAGAGGCGCGGTGGCGGCAGTTTCCCCTGAATATTATACCCATTTTTCAATCTTTTCATCAAATTATCCATCATGAATGAGCTTTCTAAAGAAAAACGGATAATATTAGCTATTGATGCTTTTAATAAGGGCTCCTATCTGCACGATTGAAATCGACCAAGAAAGTCACCTTTGGAATTCTGGATCCTCATCATCATCCTCCTCAAAAAGGAACCTGATATAGATGAGGAAGAGGATAGGGAAAATAGGTGAGCCCTGAGGAATGCCTACAGAGATGGGGGTTTCTTCAGTACTATCCCCATCAAAGGCCAGCTGAATGCTTCTATCAAAAAGGAAGCTCTGAATCCATTGAATTAGAGCAACAGGAAGCCCTAGTCTAAAGCAGACCCTGAGCATTTGATTGATAGACATGATCAAAGGCACCTTTTAACATCTATAAGTAGAGGTGTGCTTCCTATTCTTCTTTGCAGTCTGGATATCATGCACTAGAGATAGAACAGCATCTATTGCAGATTTCTGCCACACGAGGAGGGAAGAAAGAAGGTAACAATGCAATCATTGACAAGGCTAACAACCCCGCTTCACGTGATAGCCAGCCAACGTAACCAGGCTGTCACAAGGCAGCTCGGTGATATGCGCCACTTGGTGATAGATTACAAATTGCGCGGTCGGCAGCGGCGGCATCCATACTACATCTATCTGTCAATTCCTTTTAAAGCAAGTCAAATTCATTATATATATTACTATCTAGCAGGGCATTTTAATCTATTATGACCTTCTTTATTGCAATTCCTGCATCGTGCTGGCCGCCGTGATCTTGATGATGATGGCTCTTCTTGCCTCTCCCATTCTCTCTCAATCTTTGCAACCCTTCATCACCAGTCAAACTCCATCTTGAATAGAGGCTCATGTCATCTCCTTCTCTTTCTGATGCCTATTTGATGTGCGAAGCTGATGGATTTCTTGTTGTAAAAGGATAGAATTCTGCATTGCCATCTCTGCACCCTTAATGACTTTTTCAAGCATCTGCTCTGCAGCCACTGAGGATACAGACTGTGTTTGAAGCTTGCATCTGCCTTCGCTGATTTAACGGATAGAGATTGGCTGGTGTCCTTCCTAAATAAAAGGATTGATTGCTGTTTGATGAGGAAGGTGATTGGTGTAGATAGATAGAAATTCCATTTATCAACAGCATGAACACCATTTTGTGCCATCTCTCTGACTTTTTGGCCATAATAATGCTTTAATGACGCAAAACAGCTTATATCAAGAGGCTGAAGTAGATGAAGATGAATTGAGGAAGCATACATAAAGGGATAATTTTCCTCTCAGTGCAGAAATGATCAAAACTAGCAGTTGCATGACTACTATGACTATCAAGAATCAAAAGGTGATATCTACCAGCAGTCTGATGAGAGAAGTGCTTCTCAAACTCCTGAAGCCATTCAAACCCTGGATTATCATTTGTCCAGCCATTATCGCTCATGCTGATTTTGTATTCCTTTGGAATAGCTGAATGCCATTGAGATTGATGGTTTTTCCCGGCCAGAATAATCTGCGGAGGTAGAGCAGATCCAGAGGCATTTATGGCAATTATTATAGTAATCCACTCGCGATTTCCAGGCTGGATAGATTTGGCATGGCTATCTCTAGTCTCCAAGCCACAGATAACCTTTGCAGTTGATGCCACTCCCATTTGAAAACCAGATTCATCCATATTGTATATATCCTGCTCCAGAATGCCATATCTTTGGATGGTCTCTTGAACGCAATTAAGCCAGCCTTTTATCAACTCAGGATCCTCACATTTGGCACGCTGATAGTTGTATTTGCGGGTATATTTGAATTTGAGCTCAGGACGGCGTTGAATAAAGCGGTTAACCCATAGCTCACCAGTGGTGGCTTTCTCAGGGGGTTTTAACTGTGCAGATAGCAGTAATTGGGCAAGATAGCAGACATTTGATATTTGAA